TCTTACCTGCTGCAGATAATACTTCCTGTTTTTATGAACAGTTAACATCTTACCTGCTGCAGATAATACTTCCTGTTTTTATGAACAGTTAACGTCTTACCTGCTGCAGATAATACTTCCAGTTTTTATGAACAGTTAACATCTTACCTGCTGCAGATAATAACTGAACTTCCTGTTTTTATGGACAGTTAACATCTTACCTGTTGTAGATGATTATTTAAACAACCAGGGTTTGATGAGCTAACAGCTAACTCTTAATGCTAGCTTATAGTTAGCCTTTAGATGCTTTTAGTAAGCTTTTAGCTAATTTTATACATCTACATTTAGATTTTTAACTTGTTTTTTTGCTACAAATAGGTAGCATTTAGCTGCTTTTAGGCTATAAGCTAACACTGCTGCTTTTAGCTAGTGTCCTTTTAACTCATCTGAAAGTGTTTTCTTCATTCTGACATGAAGAGACGTAAAACCATGAAGACGTCTTTGACACGTCTGTGTGAGGACACTCCCTCTGAGCTGTTAGCACAATGCTAACGACATCACAGGACTCCCACAATCCACGGTCCTGACCAGTCCTGCAGGGACAGACCTGAGACCTGTCCTCACAGAGTCAGACCTGAGACCTGTCCTCACAGAGTCAGACCTGAGACCTGTCCTCACAGAGTCCTGCAGAGTCAGACCTGAGACCTGTCCTCACAGAGTCCTGCAGAGTCAGACCTGAGACCTGTCCTCACAGAGTCCTGCAGGGACAGACCTGAGACCTGTCCTCACAGAGTCCTGCAGGGACAGACCTGAGACCTGTCCTCACAGAGTCCTGCAGGGACAGATCTGAGACCTGTCCTCAAAAAGTCCTGCAGGGACAGACCTGAGTCCTGTCCTCACAGAGTCCTGCAGGGACAGACCTGAGACCCGTCCTCACTGAGTCCTGCAGGGACAGACCTGAGACCCGTCCTCACAGAGTCCTGCAGGAACAGACCTGAGACCTGTCCTCACAGAGTCCTGCAGGGACAGACCTG